TCAGCCTATAGATGAACTGCTCCTTACTGCTGTCCAGGCTGCCTGTGTACAGCTTCATGAGCCATGGGAGCAAGAGGTAGGCTGGGTCCCCAAGGCTAACTACTGGCATTTCAGCATCCCTAATGGTAATTTTCTGATCTGGGAAGAAAATCCCTTCTTGCAGCTTTCTGAACAGCCCCGAATGCCGAAAGATGTGAGCGTCATGCACCTTTCTCGACCATCCCACATTGATGTTGGTGAAACGGCCCTTGTGATCCACCAGTGCTTGCAACACCATTGAGAAGTATCCCTTGCGGTTTATGTACTGTTTGGCAAGGTGGTCTGGTGCCAAGATAGGGATATGTGTTACGTCTATCGCCCCACCATAGTTAGGGAACCCCATTGCAGCAAAGCCATCCACTATGACCTGCACATTTCCCAGAGCCACTACCCTTCTTAAAAGGGTATTGATTGCCCTGGCTACTTGGATCACAGCAGCCCCCATGGGACACTTGCCCACTGTGAATTGATTCCCAACTGACCGGTAGCAGTCAGGCATTGCAAGCTTCCACAGGGCTATCGCCACTCACTTTTCAACTGTCAGGGCAGTCTCATCTTGGTATTCCTGCGCTTCAGGGTGGGGGAAAGCAACTCACAAAGTTCCATGAAAGTGACCTTACACATGCAAAAGTTTCATAGCCACTGGGAATCATCCCATCCCTGCAGTCCCACCAGTCTGTGCTTATTTGCCGGGCCCAGAATCGGTGTTCCACTGTATCAACATGCCGCAATGCTGCCATGATATCCCAATTGCCACATCCTGGGCTTTCAGAAACGTGTGTGACCATGTCCTCCTCACAATCTTCCTCGTGCTGGTGGCTCCTAGCCAGGTTCTGCACATACTGCAGGATAATGCGCGAGGTGTTTACAATGCTCATGAAAGCAGTGCGCAGCTGAGCAGGCTCCATGGCGTCTGCACAGATAACCCAGGAAAAAAGGCACGAAATGATTGTTTGCTGTTGCTTTCAAAGAGGGAGGGAGGGGAGACTGACGACATGTACCCAAAATCACCCACGACAATGTGTTTGCCCCATCAGGCATTGGGAGCTTAACCCAGAATTCCAATGGGCAGTGGGGACTGTGGGATAGCTACCCATAGTGAACCACTCCGTGAGTCGATGCTAGCCACGGTATTGAGGACGCACTCCGCCGACCTAATGTGCTTAGTGGAGACATGCACGATCGACTGTATAAAATCACTTACTAAAGATCGACTTCTATAAAATCAACCTAATTTTGTAGTGTAGACATGCCCTAAGACTCAATGGCAGAATGCTGGCCTCCTTTGTGAAAGTACTCCTGGGAGCTACCACATCTGCTTGCTTACCTGACAAGGGTATTATGGACCCAGTCCTGCAAGTTGCTGAGTACATCCAACTGTGAGTTGAGGGCATTCAACCCCCAGAAATTTCCTCTGGTTGTAGGAAGCTCTGCACTACAGGGTGGGAGGGGGTTGGGTGCGGAGGGTGGGGTGCGGTGAAGCTCAGTGGGGTGGGGTTCGGGTGTGGGGGGATTCAGATTTACAGGGTTGGGCTGACAGGTAGCGGCTCCCAGTACAATGACCCCTCCCCCCAAGCCCACCTCCGCATCAGGAGACCCCCGAACCCACACTCTGACCTGAACCCCCTGCATTGGGAGACCCCCCCCACCTGGACACCCCACCCCACTGAGCCCCAACCAGCCACACCCTGACCCCCTACCCCATCAAGCCCCTCTCCCCCAGGCTCCCTCCCCCGCCCCGCCTGAGCCCTAACCACCTTCACATGGACTCTCTTGCAGAGTCCCAGTCCACCTGCACCCAGAACCCCCCACTGAACTGCCTGCACCCAGCCTGTGCCACACAGAACCTTGGTACACTTGAGGGAATTCTGCACCAAACAATTATAAAAATTAAAATTCTGCAAAGTTCTGCATATTATATTTGTCAAAATAATACAGTAACACAATAATCATATAATCACACCATTTTCAATTATTTTGGCAATTTATTTCAAAATACTTGTCAGCAAATAATTGAAAATGGTGTGATTATTTTGTGTTTACTTTGACAAATAAAATATGCAGAATTTTAAAATATTATGCACAGAATTTTTAATTTTTTGGTGCAGAATTCCCTCAGGAGTAAACTATGTAGACCTTTTAGCAGTTGCTTTTGAGGAGGTAAGGAGCATATAATTAAATGCTCCTCTTATCCCTACTGACACTTATCTTTCTAGAAAGTTTTTTAGTAGCCCTTTAAAGAGAAATAAGATTTCATTACATAATTTATTTTTATAAAGCGAGTTACCATATTTTGGACTTCTTACAATTCATGTTTCTAAGATGATCCCATCAAGCCATCATTGTAAATGAGATATTTACTTTCCTTATAGTTCCTTGTCCATATTTTTTTTAACTTGCCATAGGAATAAGTAATGGGCTATGTTTGAAGGCCAGCCGTTATTTGTATTATAGTCATTAATGGTTTTCTACACTTGAAAAAAATCTGACCCATAATTCTCCACTCGTGCAGCAGTATATGATTTTTGGTCAGATTGATATACTGAGCCTCCCATTATATTTTTTATGTTATATTTTAAAAAGAATACCAGTGCCTTCTGCAGTAGTAGGCAGTGTTGTGAACTCCTGAGATTTTTATCACAAATCTCATATTTGGTGATTTTCCTAATGGTCCAGTTCCCAGTCATGAGATTACATGAAAATCTCAGCTTTCATTTTTGTAAAAAGCAAGCTTCTAGCCCTTATGATTATGGAGAAAAGCTTGAAAACACGAACTCTAGAGGTCACAAACCAGAAGGCAAATGAAAAGAACCCAAAATTTACTTATTTTAAAAACTGCATAATTTTTAAATCATTCTCATGGTCTTTTGAGACCTGAAATGATTTTTGAACTCTCAGATTGGCAATACTGGGTAAACTCTTTGATTATGCTAATCCTGTGAGTATAATTGAACTATACTTACAAAATTATGAAAAATGTTCTCTATGTAGCATTACTGTTTCACAGCTCTCTGGATACTCAAGCCATTTTATTCAGCAAGGATAAAATTCACCCCGTGTAGAGGGCCAATACAAGGACTATGACTAACTTAAATCCAACATAAGTGCTCAAAATTGAGCTGTGTCGTCACAAGGGCATATATCATGGTATAAATTAAATTCCATCCTGATTAAATTTATTCTTCAAAGATTTATGTTCTTCATAATCTAGTGTAATAGGTACACTGTCTTGCATCTTTATTTTAGTTTTTATGAAACCTTCAGCACATGCTTTTGTGAATCGATAAAGATACTTTGTGTATGCTTCCTTGTGCTGTCTCATCAGCTCCTATCTCTCAAGGTTAGCAGGGTCTGGCTGGGTCAGTCCTTGGATAGGTAAGACCTTTATTTAATAGATAATGTGGTCAACAGTGTTGGAAATCATGATTCAGTAAATTGAAACTCAATACCTTAAGTTAGTACTGAAGCAGTACCTTATCATGGTGTTAGGGGGGCACCATGCTTCAATAGCTGCTGTCTTACAGTAATGACATGGCCAAGAGCAACAGGATGAATATATATAGTTCATGAATGATCTTTTCAGATCTGCTTGAAATGATGGGTATATCATATAGATCTTTAATTTCCCAGAATTTCATGGTCTCCTTAACTGTATCAGAATAACAGTTGCATGTTTCCATATGGTAGGTATTTATTTGATCAAAATTGTGGAAATAGATTTATATCCAACTATATGTTTATACAGGAAGGTGACAGAGCAGGGATAAATGCCAACAAGAGGTCCTGATTCTTCCCGTGAATGCACACTGCTCCAGTTGGTGATCTACCTGTGTGCATCAGAGGTCAGAACTTGATTTAAAGGTTGCAAACTCTGAATCCTCCTACACTTACATTTAAAATTCTATTTAATTTTTGCAGCTTTTTTCAAATAAAGTTTTAGAATAAGAAAAAACAGGGAAATGTGTAGAGAGATGGTCCAGAACCAAAACCTGGATCCAAATACCCCGAGCTTTGATGGTGTTTGAGACTTGAACCTGAATCCAGATATGAATTTTATATATGTCACCTTCTTTATAATGGGCCAAACCACAACTCTGGATTCAAACAACTGTGAATTTTGTAAAAATGCTTGAACTCATCTCCAATTCTCTATTTTTGGTTATTTTAAATATTAACACTGATGACTGATGTAAACACCCATTAGTTTAAAACAAATAAACAAGAGATTACAATGAAAGGCTGGTAGAAAAAAGTGCTCTGACTTTAATCAAGAAATTAAAATACAGTGATTCCATTACTTTTAAAATGTTTAATACAAATGTTTTAAAGAATGTTTTGAGATTTTCACATTGCTATCTTTTGAGAAAACTGCACCAAAATTATTTTAATAGGAAAATGAAGCAAGTGAATGCATTAATTATTTATTTAAATACTTGGTGCAACTGTTCCTATTAACTAATCCAGGCACTTGGAAGGCAATTACACTGAGCTTTGACAACATTGCCAACCCACTGCAGTGTGCCTTGTGCCAAACACTATTGTTGTTTTATTGACCACGTTCACCATTACATATGCATATGAAAAAACAGAGGCATTTTCATCAGGATTACCCTAATAGCATTAAGAGATTATTTTTAAAATTTCCTTGGAAGAAAATTCACTTAAATGAGATTACTTATTACTTGACTGGTTTCCTATCATGCTGCTATGTTTAGGTAAGTGGAGTCCATTAGACTATAAAGTTTTTTTAAAAACTGATTTTATACATTAACGATTTCAAATAAAAGGGAAGTACTATATTTGTGCATAGCTTCTTTTGAGAAAGTTAAGTCGATGTTCTGGTTAGGAGAGATAACACTTTTTGTCCCTCTTGGTGGCCCCCCTAGTGTCGCCATTAGTTGCTAATTACTTGCAAACAAATAAACAATTAACTCCTCGTGCCTCTTGGTGGGAGAGTCTTCATTGACATGCTAAAACTTTCTAATAAAAGATTTTAATTAATGACGTTGCAAATCCAACCCCCTTGCCAACACAGCTATAAGGAGGACCTGCAAGAAAATGCAAGTACAATTCATGTTGTGCATAGACTGAAGGTGAAAGAATGGCAAGTACATCATTATGTGCTTCTGATACAGCAGTGTCTCAAAATCTTCAGAAAGTATCCAGTTTTGTGGAAACTAAAACCACACATTGCTCATTTTCCATTGAAAGCATTTTGGGATTAGAACAGAAAAAAGATGGCATTCCAGCTGCGATACCTCACAGACCGTGGATGGATACATGCAACAATTTAGGTATGTTATCAGCTTCAGTTGTCTATTGTCTTAACTTTTTACCCTATGTTAAGTTTTATGTATTATCAAGGATATGTTTCAATAAGCACCTCAGTATGATTAGATGTATACTTAAAACATTAGATTATCACTTATTTTGTTACAGGCTTGCATTTTAATATAACAGTCTCATTCAAAAATTGGCAAATACAGATTTATTAATTTAAATTCTATATTTTTATGTTTTTAGGAGAAGACACTAGTCAGTGTCTGCAGACCCCTGTCATTTCCTGTGAAGGGCCATTATTTCATGTTAACAGTTACCCGATGCTGGAGGAAAGAGTTTTGAAATGTGAAAAATATTTTTCAGCCACTGAAAGGCTATCTTACAAAAGGGAACTGAGCTGGTACAGGGGTAGGAGACCAAGAACTGCTTTCACTAGAAACCAGGTGGGGATTCAGTTACATTACTTTATTTATAAATAGGTATGTTTTGCTATATTCATTTGTTGAGTAAAATGCATTCAACAATAGGAAGCATGTAATGAGTAGCTGATAAAATATTGTATATCTATTGGATAAAGAGGCAGAGATGTACATATGCAGTTAAGGACTGGTGTTAATCTAGGGTAATTTCACTAATTTCATTTGATTTACGCTGGTATAAATGAGATTGGAGTCTGGCCCAAAAAATTGTTGGGAAAGGCTTTTACTTGAACTGACAGACTTTCTCTGTGTCCTACAATGTAAAATTTTAAATTGTTTAATGGATTGTTTGCTTATTCTCCTCAGATTGAAATGCTGGAAAATGTTTTTAGAGTGAACTCCTATCCTGGCATTGATGTTAGAGAAGAACTAGCTCACAAACTAGATTTAGATGAAGACAGGATCCAGGTAACTTAATTTAAAAATATATATATTCTGCGATCACATGATGTCTCCTCAGCTATGATGTAAGTAGGTGGATGGGATAACCATGTGAAAATTGCATTTATTCTTAATGATCCTTAGTCATTAGTGTATTATTAGATAGGTACTATATTGACAGTAATTTGTAGTGGGGAAACCAGTGAAATTTCTACTCCCTCTCAGTCTCCCCTTCTCTCTGGCACCGATATGACATTCATCGCTGTAATACTTCAGTGTCATCCTCCTTGACCATCACAAAGCTTTCCCCCTACTGAACACTCAGATTGAAATCCAGGTCCCATTGAAGTAAATGGGAATTTTGTCACTGACTTCAGTGGGGCCAGGATTTTATTCTCCGATCCCAGGTTTGAAAACCTTTCCTACAATGGGTTTGGAACCATGTTTGAAAACTAAATAAATACAGTTAAGCAAATGGATAAATACATTTCAAGCAGGGTTTGGCTAGCCAATTTAGACAGGACAAAACTGTTTTAAAGTCACATTTGAGACTCTGTCTCATTTGGTTCAAAGCTCGGTGTGCATAGGGATTTTAAGGTCTGATCCAGAGCCCATCAAAGTCAATAGAAAACCTCCCACTGACGTCTTTGGACTTTGGATCAGACCCTTAATGTTCACTAAGGGTTTGATCAACTTCCATTGAAGTCAGTTGGAGGGTTTGTCATAAAAGTTGGATCAGGCCCTACTAACTTATACTGCAAGGGTTTAAGCACTTCTGGGAGTTATTGAGTATCCTGAACTTCCACTGATTCCTCTGGGAGTTCAGAATGCTCAGAATCTTCCTGGATCAAGCCCTGAGGGTCCAGACGTGTTTCATTGAAGTTGATGAAAGTTTTGCTGTTAACTTCAGTGGGAAACAAAGTAGGTCCTTATCTTCCAATTCAGCTAGGAAATGCGATGAGTCCTTTGTCTATAATTTTCTCTGCCTTACATCATTATTTATTAAAATTATTACAGCTCACCGTCTACCTTCATCTGTAGCTTTGAAACTTCCAAGCTGCTTCAGATTCCAAATTATCAAAATTTCACAAATTATTTCACTGTATGGTTGTACTGATATTCTTTATTAACTTCAAACCTGGCCTGCATACAGTGTTGCTTTTAAAAGGAAAAATTACCCATTTCTAAGAAATGTGCATTTTATTTCAATTGTAGATCTGGTTCCAGAATCGCCGTGCAAAGCTGAAAAGATCCCACAGAGAATCTCAGTTTATAATGGTGAAAAACACTTTAACCTCCAACCTGCTGGAATAGGAAGAAGCCAGCTAGTTCACCATTCTTCTACCACAATAGAACATGAAGAATTATTGGAACTTCATAATTTGCATTATTAAGCAATGATAATGTAATATTTGTACTTTGATATTTGCATCTAGTTTTGAAAGATTATCATGATTTTCATTAGAATAAACTGTAAATACTTCATTATGACATGCCTCATATTATAATTGCACTTTTTGTAAAAAAATAAAATAAAAAGTTTTCCATATATTTTAATAAATATTTTCCAAAACATGTAAGATATTTTTGCAGATAACAAACTTTAATACACTAGATCCTGAGCTGATGTAAATCTGAATAATTTACTTGAAGACAATGGAGCTACACCAATTTATACTAGTTGATTTGGTCCTGTGTGGTTACTGATTTCAGAAAATTCATCAGGAATACATGAAAAAAGTGACCAATTTTTTTGTTTTGTTTTGTTTGTTTAACAAAGCTTCAAATATTTTTAAAGGTAGAAGTAAAAAATCATTTAAAGTACACAATTATGCAAAAATGCTACTGCTGTTACAGCAAATTTAGCTTCGGTATTTTACTGGAATGAAATAGCTTTTCAGTGTTTGCAGTATAGAGTTGAAATTTTAAAAAATGATACAATATACTTGTTTTTATGAGACATGCTAGCTATTTATAAATGGAAAAACCTAGAGAACAGTAACAATGTGTGGCATTTGTATAATTTACTTTAGCTAAACCAATTAAACTGAAAACCAGTTTAAAATGTCATTCTTATGGACGTCATATTTTCTCATGTTTTAATTAATGTAAATTTTGCTAATATTTGCCTAGTTAATATTACCATCTTAACTATGTCCCATCCAAATGGTTTTATCAGTATTTATGATCCAGTCCTGTGAAGTACTGAGTGCCCCCGGTAACTCATGAGAGTTGGTGAAATCTATAACACATAACCAATTTGGGGTCTCTGCCTTGCTTCTTGACAGTCTGCCCTGTGTTTTTCACTCATGGTCATGAACCACTCTGTTAAAGCTTGTCTCTTTCACCAACAAGTTGGTCCAATAAAGGATATTACCTCACCAATCTTGTCTCTCTACAAGAAAACTGATTTTCTGAGTTTGGTGATTCATCCATTAGACCAATAAAAGTACCAATTGCTTTAACTGGCCTTTTCCTTTTTTTGTAACCATTTTTTTGAACTGCACATATCTGTAGACCTTAAAGCAGAGATCTACCATATACCATAGGTACCAACTTTCCCTGGCACCGGTGCGTGCTCGTGCCCCTAGCCACCCCCATTCCAACCCTTTCCCCAAAGTCCCCACCCCAACCCGCCCCCTTCCTGCCCTTATTGAACCCCTTCCCCAAATCCCTGCCCCGGCCCCGCCTCTTCCCCAAGCGCGCCATGTTCCCCCTCCCTCTCAGCCGTGCAAAATAGCTGTTTCGCGGCACAAGCACTGGGAGCTAGGGGGGAAAAAGGGGGGCACGCAGTGCGCTCAGGGGAGGAGGAGCGAAGGTGAGCTGGGCGGTGGTGAGCTGCCGGTGGGTGCTGAGCACCCACCAATTTTCCCCCGTGGGTGCTCCAGACCTGGAGCACCCACAGAGTCATATGCCATATACTATATGTAGCCAGAAGATTTCTCCAGGTAGTTATTCAAGAACATGCATTCTAATTTTGAAGGGTTTGTTGTGTGCTGAATTATACTGAAAACATTGCAAACACATGTAGAATCTTTGAAAAGTGAGTGTCATATCTGTTATGCCTTAAGATGTATTCCTTAACATATCTGACTTTGATTAACTTAATGGATGACAGTGATTATCCTATCCAATTTGTGTGATGGCAGTAGTCCTCCAACTTCGTTTTTATCTACGAAGCCTTGAAACTGTCACTCTTTAATCAATATTCTTTTCTGTTCTTAACATTGAATGTTGCTTATAATAGGAAAAATAACCGAACTAGGTGCTAAGACTTCTTATTGGACAAAAGCTGCAATTGGCAAAAACTATTTGCATACATTTAAACTACTTTTTTTGCCCACTAGGTAAATTCATGGTTTTATTGCATTTTGCTGATTCAGGGACCAATCCTGCAAACATTTACTCTCTCTCTCTCTCTCTCTCTCTCTCTCTCTCAATTTCACTGACGTCTGAGACAATTTACTTAAGTAAGGATCTGCCGTATTGGTCTCTTATTTTTAAAGTAGTAGGTCCGTTGATTTTCAGATGATATTAAGCACTGAACCTCTTCTTGAATTCAGTGGGAGCTGAGTGTATGCTGCACCTCTGAAAAATTAGGCTGTACACTTTAGTGACTCTGGACAGTTTTTGTTCATTGCAGCCATAATACAATGGGAAGAAATAAAACTAAGACATGTTTATTTTATGAGGAAACTAACTGCAACAGGATTGTATTGGGCACAAACAAGCCTTTTTAGGATAATGCAAGGAGGGGAAAGTGACAGTCTCCTTAAATTCTTTAATTATTTAGCTGGATTTTGTTTTTGTTTTATTGGGTTGTTCTTTTTTTTAGAAAGCAAAAACACCAGCTGCAGTACTTGAATTTAAATAATTACCTTTCTTGTTTTCATTATTCGATCAGTATGAACACAATAAATCCCAAAGAATGTTAGTTCCTCATTGTTTGCTTTTATTAAAGTCTTAGAGGACATAGAAGAAAAACACTTGAGAGCCAGCCTCTTGTGTCCCACTCCATGAGACAACTAACTTAAGTAAAGTTACTCACATGTCCAACTTGTGTTTGTAGGATTAATCCCTTAGTTACTCCATTGTGCAGGGAGATAGATACTCAGAGGGTTATAGCCCCAGATGGTGAACATTGATGTATTTGTCACACCAGTTTACACCAGATGAGCATCTGTCTCAAAATCTTTGTCCTCTTTACTATCTATGATGCTTACTTCATATGGAATTAGCTTCTTAAAACCTCTGAATACAGCATGTTGTCAGTAATTCAGGTCAGCTGTAAATAGCAAAAAGTGAGAGAACTGGAGAAAAATGGAGAAACTCCACCATCTTCTCCAGTTGCAATATAGTTCCGTTGATAATTAAATGTTCTCTGTATCTTATTTCCTTTGCTAATTAAATAATAACTATGAATAGACAAAATTTAACCTTCCCAGGTACATTATTTTCAATTTAGTTTATTCTTGAAAGAGATAAGGGTTGAATTTTGAAGCCTTGTTTCTTTCTATTCCTGGAGGGTGATTGATTCTTGGTAAGCTGCACTAACATTTCTAGAGGAAGGACTTTCTTTCAATGCTAGGAAGTGCTGACTTCACAAATATAGTGAACAGGAAAGATGGAATAGCAGATGGCTGTGTTTTACATTACATTAATGGAGAATTCACTGAAGTTGAGTCTTTTGCTAGATGTTTTGGAATCTATTTGGAAACCCATCTGATTCAGAAATTTACCAAACTTTCATGGACAAAGAGAAAACAATTGTCTTTATTGCTTGAAGTTTTACCCATGCTATTGGTTGGTCTGCAGAAGGGAAGGTCAATATTTATTTGCCTGCTTTTTTTATTGTTTTATAGTGCCTGGCATTTGCAAGGAGTATGTGGTAGATACATTGTGACTGAACTACGACTCCAAATATTGACCAAGAGAATTCAGTTGAGATTTGTTTGGAGGCGCAAGAGATTAAACAAAAAAGCCCTGATAATTGCCACAAAGTAAGATAAAAAGCCTCCTCAGCTCAATGTGGGTAGTTTTCTTTAATATACTCCGATATGTAGCTTCATTGATGAATTATCTGTAACCTTTATGGGTTCCATACAAAATGGAAAATTATTTGATCTCACAGTTAAAAAAGACTGTTTTAATCTGGAAAGATTTTACTTCAGTATGGAGAGAGGTTATCAAAGTTAGTAATTCATACTTTATTTTAAGGAGAACTGAATTTGATAGTTGTAATCATGTTAAATATCATTGAGAGACTTTCATCAAACCCAGCTAATCAGAATTCAGTAAAGGAAAAGTAATCTAAAGAGATATATACTGCATTGATATCATTAAATTAAGATCCAAATATTCATAAACATAAAATTCTTAATACTCCAAAATTTTAGACCTATAATACATTGATATACAATAAGGCAGCAAACAAAAGGTATTAAACAAAACTTTCAAATAGAAGGGTTAATTAAGGAAAACCAACAAATCCCAAAAGCATGGTGAATTCACACACTAGCAGAAAAATATCTACAATGGGGGTAGATTCAGAGAATGTGAGAATTTGCATACCTCCCTCATTTGGATAGTGAAGATGGTACTAGAGATGCAGGGGTAATTTCTCTCCCTCCCAACATACAGGATCTATTCCACAGCTTAACCCTGTTCCAGGTAATTTGAAGCTATTGTCTAACTTAATGCTGGAAACAAAGTTTACAGCAGCAATAAATCACACTAAGCCAGTCAGGTTAATGCCTACAAGCCTCACTCTATTATCTGACAAAACACCTAAATAAGGTTACTGTCTCTCATAATGGAATTTTTTCCTCACAAGAGAAGACTGACAAAGCAATTTACAACACAGGACTAGTAACATAATAATAGCACCAGCTCTGGTGGTCAGCTTTCAATTAGTGAATGTTAACAATGGGATGCTTCCCATTCATATCATACCAGTGTTGTTGCACAAAGTCTCTTTAGCACAATTGTTATCAGCTTTTTCTCCGTCACAATGCTGTTGGCTTCATGAGATGTTAACAGCACAGAAGGGCCACTAACTTCACATTTGTTTCATGATACACATTGCTTTACATCAGGGACATCATATTTATCACGTTAAGACAAATACTCCATTCTCAACTTAAAATGTTAATCTGCTCTTCATAGGACACATACAGTATCTCAGATTTAATTGCTGCTGATTGCTTAGTATCTTGCATTACAACAGCAACATATAAACAATTTAGCATGCTATATTCAACTGTTTAGGCACAGACAATCCAAATAATGTAAATGTTCTGTCAGAACATGCCTCAGGTGTATTGCTTCAGTTATAATTAAGAAAGTTGTTTTTATCTACCACTAATACTGTAATTTAATCCAGTACCAATTCTACATCTTTTGAGTCTTATTCATATAAAGCTTTTGTTCATATACCACCCACTGGGAGTATTGTGAGGAAAGCGAGTTGTTACATTCAGGTATACTTCCAAGAAGCTAGGAACTTCTCAATTTTAATCCCGGTTCTGCCACGGAGTTGCTCTGTGAAATCACAAATTCAGTGTCTGTTTCCCCATCTATAAAATGTGTATAATAAGCCTAGACCACAGAGCGATGCTGCTATTCCAGCCCATTCCATAGGACTTAAGTTGCCCTAGTGTTGGCTTCAATGGGCTTAAAGTTAAGTTTGTCCTTAAGTGCTTTCCTGATTAGGGATGCTTTCCTGAGTTAGGGTCTAGGTTCCCTGCCAGAAAATTAAAATTACTGGCCCACTCCTCAGTTGTTGTAAATTGTTATATCTCCATTAACTTAATCCTTCAATATTCTAAGAACCTCCTCC